GATGGGACGAAGGGAGGTAATCGGCAGAAGGTGGTCTCTCAAGTACTCAGATCCACTACCATGAAGGGCTTCAAAAGTTCAAACCCTGTAAGATTCTCCAAAAAGGAGAGTCCTAAATACACAGCGGAAGGCTTCTGAAAACTCAGGACCCTTCTTGCAACTCAAACCAACCAATAATCTGAAGAGATACTGACCTTCTTTGCATAGTCTAGGTCTCCCTCTAGGAGAAAGAAATCTTCCCATTATTCAGTATATGAAATAATCTGTAAAATAAATTTCCAAGCAAAGAAATAGTATAGTATAGCCTTTATTGTCATTGTACATCATGTATACAATGAAATTGGTTTTAGCCTCACTGGTGCAATCCATGACAAAAAAATACAAACAACATAAATAGTATATAGAATAATCCCTATGGAAGTAATTAGGAAAAAAAAGAAAAAGAAAGAAAAAAACCTAGTGATACGTTATACACGTGATATGTGTGGAATTATTGTGGTTGTGCTTAAAAGTCTGACAGCCCACGGACAGAAACTATTTTTAAACCTATTTGTTCGGCTGGTTATGCTTTGACGTCTTCTGCCCAGTGGTAGAAGTACAAAGAGACACTGACCAGGGTGTGAATCATCTCTGAGTATCTTCCTTACTCTGCTAAAGCAGTGAGACCTGCCAATGTCATACAGTGGTGTTAATGGCAACCAATGGTTTCTTGTGCCAAATTGATCACTGAATTCAATCCCAAGGATATACAAAAAATTCTGTACTATTTGAGGTAGTCCTCAACTTACTTCAGTTGAAACCAGAATTTTCATTCATAAGCAAGGTGGTTCTTAAGTGAATTGCACTTTTTTTTAAAAAAATACTTTTTTTGCCACCTTGATATGCAAATCACTTCAGCTTTTATAAGTGAATTACATGGTTGTTAAGAAAATCCAGATTCACCTATTAACTTCGCTTATTAGAAGCTGGCTGGGAAGATTGCAGATGGTGATCACATGACCCTGGGATGCTGCAACCGTTCTAAATGCATGTTAGTTGCCAAGTACCTGAAGTTTGATCATGTGACCATAGGGATTCTGTGATTGTTGTAATACAAGGACTCGTCATAAGTCATTTTTTTCAATGCTATTGTAACTTTGGCCACTAAACACTGGTTGTAAGTTGAGGGCTGACTGTATCTCCTTCCCCTTTTAAAAACAATCAGTGATCCATTTGTGCTATGGAACCTAAAAAGAACTTGGACGCTAGCCAGTAGAAAAACTGGAGTCCCAAGTAATAATTGGAAGGGGGATTTAATTTTTTGACTATTCACAATTTTCTGTTCCAGACATTATTTCCATTTTTTTTTTAAAAAAAAAACAACTTGTAGCAAATAATGGTTTATATGCCAAGGGTAGCTTGGCAAGAAAGTGACAAGGGAAGAAGCATTGAGTTTTCTCATTGACAGTTCCAAATCAGCCTGTTGAAGCTCTTCTGACATTTTAAAAAGATATTGCAAGAAATATGTACAATAGCTTGCTATGGTATAATTCTATACGTGCCTAAAATGGCTGTGTATCCAATAGGGTTATTGACATGGTGACTTGTATTTATTGAGAACAATTAGTCAACAGAACAGCTTGCCTCTCAGAGCCGAGGTGGCGCAGTGGTTAGGGTGCAGTACTGCAGGCCACTTCAGCTGACTGTTATCTGCAGCTCAGCGGTTCTAATCTCACCGGCTCTAGGTTGACTCAGCCTTCCATCCTTCCGGGGTGGGTGA